GCACATCTACCTCCTTCAGCACGCTACCCACCGAACATGTCTACTAAGCAGCTCCTCACCACACGGCATCTCCAGCACCAGACTGTCTTTCATATAACTTATATTATACAAGAAAACCACCTTAGAGTTTCCATCCATCCTGAGTGCTAGACAACATAATATCACGTAACCCTACAATGTTATATGTAGTAATGATGGGTGGTGTTATATGTAGTGATGATTAGACAATAAAATAATAACAGTTTAATGCTAAAAAAATATACTTTGCTGTACCGTTGTAGTGAAAAACATGGTGGAACTTACATACACCGTTAGTGAACTATTGATGGACGAAGAGGTTTTGGGGACTGAACAGGGAGACAATGTGGAGCTCCCGGAGGGTGGCGTCCTACTGTGGCCTAGCGAATGAGCCGCCCAAAGGGCGGTTTTTCTGCTAGTATATATATATATATATATATATATATATATATATATATATATATATATATATATATATATATATATATATATATATATATATATATATATATATATATATATATATATATACACACATAGATATATCATAAATAATTATCAATAGAGGGATCCTACACCGGCTACTGGCCTCCCTCACTCGACATGGCCACCTGTATATAATATCGTGAAAACTGTGTCGGCGACCCCAAGCACCAGGGACAAAGACCCACGGTCTTTACGACTGACAAATATTAACAGATGTCTACCAGTGTCAGTGGCCCTCAAAGTGCCGTCAGTGACAAACACTTCCGTCCGCCCACAACAGATATCAACAGATGGCCACCAATCACTTACTCCCGACGCACTCTGTACCATCTAAAGCATGGGAACGGTTATCCTGATGGCAGTGTTATCGCGCGACTCAAGTCACTGAACATATTCCACGCGCGGAGCCGTAGACAAGGCCATCATACACATAAGCCCATTAGAACCGTAACTTCCACTAGGAAACCGGAGAAACCCACCCCTGACAGAACGTACCACTACACTGAAGTTCCACGGATATGGTATGATCTCCCGTCTCTACTGCTATCCAACGTCACTTCCCTAGCTAACAAGTTCGACGAGCTGGCAACTGCAGTCAGATCAGCCGCCGCGAGCGTCGTTGCCATATGTGAGGCTTGGCAAATTGTGCCTGAAACGTGTCATATTGAGGGATATCAACTCTTTCATCACCTTCGTTCACATAGACGCGGAGGGGGCGTTGCCCTCTTCTGTCAAGATGACCTACGCCCGTCACGCCTGGATGTTCAAATCCCAGCAGATGTGGAAGTATTATGGATACGTGTTGTGCCACCAGCCCACCCGCGCCACACTGCTTCCATCATAATCTGTGTGGCATACCATCCGCCTCGCTCACCCACCACAGACACCCTTATCAATCATCTCATTACCACCTCAGACCACCTCAGAGTTAGGTACCCATGTGCCAAGTTAGTATTATGTGGGGATTTTAATGAAATTGACACCACTGATATCCAGGACCAGCTATCACTATCACAAGTTGACCTTCCCCACACACGGTCAAAATACCCTTGACCTTATCTTAACTGACTTAGCGGACCAGTACCAACCACCTCAACCAATGCCTTATCAGTGCTCTGGTCCCCAGCTGCCACTCCCACTCAAGCACAGAGACACTACATCAAGACCTACAGGCCGATTACTGACTCTGCAGTGCGCCTCTTCGGGCAGTGGATAGTTCACCATCCTTGGACTGAAGTACTTAGCGTGGATGACGTGGAAACCAAATGGATAAATTATACCAACACCACCACGGAAGCTCACCACCACGGAAGCTCACCACCACGGAAGCTCACCACCACTTCTTCCCCGAGAAGTCCGTCAGATCTCACCCAGCTGACTTGCCCTGGATCACACCTCGGATCAAAAGACTTATGCAACAGAGAGACAGAGCCTTTCATCTCAATGACCACATCCGCTACAGGTCCCTTCGCAACCGAGTCATCCGCGAAATACGCACTGCAAAGAAGTCCCACTACCCAACCAAATTACAACACCTGAAGCAGACCAACATCAGTCAATGGTATGGTAAGCTTAAAGAACTCTGTGGACTAAACAATAAGACACACCCCCTCCCCTTCCTTCGCCATCTCACTAATGTTGACGCAGCTGAGCAAACAAATAACCATTTCGCTACTATATGCCAGACGCTCCCCCGGCTTGACACAACCACTCTTCCTGCTTACCTACCAGCCCCCCTTCCCACTGACTTAGTAGAAGAATTTGAAGTAGCAAAACGCCTGAACAAACTAAAATTAAAACGCTCTACCACCCCCATTGACTTCCCAATGAAACTCTTCAAGGAGTTCTCCCCGGAGCTTGCTAAACCCCTATGCTCCATCATCAATGCTTCTCTCAGTCAAGCCAGATGCCCAGCTGACTGGAAGACCTCTTATGTATCACCAGTGCCCAAGTCAACCAGCCCACAATCCTTAAATCAGCTATGACCTATTGCAATCACCCCAATACCCAGCCTAATCTGTGAAAGTTTTGTGTTCGACTGGGCTTATGCTGATATTGCAGGAGTCGTAGACCCTCAGCAATTTGGCAACATGAAAACTTCCTCCACCACTCACTGTCTTTTCAGCTTTCTCGATTACATATACCGCCATCTCGAGAAACGAAAAACGTCTGAAAAACGAAAAACGTCTGAAACTGTCGCCTTCATTGATTTCACTAAAGCATTCGACCTAGTCGCCCACAATATAATCAACAACAAAGCTATTGACCTCGGGCTTCGGAGAAGTCTTATACCATGGCTTACAGACTTCCTCGGTGACCGACGACAAGCTGTACGCTTCCGAGGGGCTGTCTCCACCTTTCAGTCACTCACCTGTGGCGTCCCCCAAGGCACCAAGATGGGACCACTCTGCTTCCTTATGCTCATCAATGATGCCCTTAGAGAAACCCCTGCTCGTTGGAAATATGTCGACGACTCCACCATTGGGATTAGCGTCAACAATTCTGCTCCCAACTATACCGCCCTTCAGGATTTATTGAACAGTCTCCAAAACTGGGCCACCAACAACCATACCAAGACCATGGTTATGCACATCAACCTCTCCTCCGACATTGTCCCACCTCCTTCCATTACTCTAGGTCCGAACACACTCCAGGTTGTAGATTCCACGAAGCTCCTCGGCGTCACCATAGACAACAAATCCAAATTGAAACTACACGCCAGTGAAGGCTGCCCCAGTTTCCAGTTCCACTCTCCGCTGACCAAGTCCCTCGGAGTTCCTGCACCAGAGCTCCTCAGTGTTTACACAATATCTATACTCCTAGTCAACCTATGCCTCCCCAATCTGAAATCTGACACACTAAATGTAAATAAATGTAGAAAAGTGCTAGAAATGCATGTGACGGTCTTCTGCAAGATTCCACTCCCCTTCAAGAACTCCGCGCCTAAATACAGAAGCGCTGAACAGACCATCACCACGAATCTCACCCAAAATTTGGGTCAAAGCTCTAACCACTCATCCTCGACACCTCCTACTGCAAAGATGGTAAGAAACAGAATTGGGTCGACACACCACAACCGCACTACCACCTGACTCCATACGTTCCTAGCACGAGAATTGCTGTTCGACACCACAACCGCATCCAGCCCATACGTGCACGAACTGATCGCTATAAGAACAGCCCAGTCCCAACCATTGTAAAAATTATCAATAACTTGTAATAGACCAGTGTATTCACTCCCAGTAAACACTACTCCTTGCACTGTCACTATGTTGAAATGAACTGTAGTTTGAGCTTTTCCCCATCGAGTTATTATATGTCTTATTTGTGTCACTTATGTTACTTGTATATTATTTGTAATTCGAAACCCATTCCCCAAATATGCAACTGTATATTTTCAGCCTTCTGGCTGCCAAGCTCTTTCAATAAACCGTTAATTATTATTATTATTATTATTATTATTATTATTATTATAATAGGTATGAATTATCTCTTGAATTAGGGTACGACTTATCTCGTGAGTTGGGTACGAGTTATCTTGGGTACGAGTTGACTTTTTTGGGTGCGAGTAGATTTTTTTGGGTACGAATTATCTTTAGTACGAGTTGTCTTGGGTACGAGATGACCCTATTCCTTAGGTAAATAAAAATGACTTAGAAGTTCAACAAACTGTGGCAATAATGATTCATTACAAACACCACAGACAACAACAACAGTGGCCTGCAAGGTGATTCATGTTAAAATATATATGCGAACATTATTTAAAAAACATTACTCTCATCAGTATATATTATTTTTACGATAAAAAACCAAAGATTTAATTTAAGTGATGCAACCTAACAATCATAAAGTATTTTGAGTTAGTTAAGGTTTGATGAGTTTGTGTCGGCTAAAATGAATATGTTCGTTATTTCTTCGTAGTTAGTTTTAAACATTATATATTTTGCCAGCTGATCGCCTGATGATTTGATGTCAGTTGAAGCTGGCTGTTGCTACCATTTCCTGTAAATTCTCTCTCTCTCTCCAATTACTCTCGCCTTCAAGTGGTGGAGTGAGAAAAGGTTTTAAATTTTCTGATATTCACATACGGTAATTATGGTTTCAGTGCTTAATTGTGTGTATTATTTTAACACCCACGCACTCGCTGGGTTACTTGCAGAACCCGTGGGGAGATAGACACGTCAGGTAACGGTAGATATTTCCAGAAAACAAATAGTCGTGGTAAGTAATACTGAGCCAGCACCCACCTTCAAAACTTGGAGATTCCTACAAAGTTGTAAACTGGGATCTTTGCTTTACCTATGTTTTAAATGGTGATGGTAGATTGGTACTGTAGGTAAGAACCCTTTTAGTGTCAGAGCTGAAGGACAGGGCTAACTCGTTATCATTTAAGCTGGAGTCGTATAAATCATGGCTCAAACAGCTAAATATCTCTACAGCTTGAGAAGACTGGAAAAACAATAAGAATTATGAAAACCTTTTCATTGTCCAATTTCTGGCCTTCACATAAGGGTAAAGATTTGTTTTATGCTTTAACAGAATTTTTTTGGGGGTGAAATTTTAGTTTCGGTCATCCCTGTATATAGATATCCAACCTAACCTAGCTACAGAACCCAGGAACTATATCTAACCTAACCTAGCTACAGAACCCAGGAACTATATCCAGCCTAACCTAGCTACAGAACCCAGGAACTATATCTAACCTAACCTAGCTACAGAACCCAGGAACTATATCCAGCCTAACCTAGCTACAGAACCCAGGAACTATATCCAACCTAACCTAGCTACAGAACCCAGGAACTATATCTAACCTAACCTAGCTACAGAACCCAGGAACTATATCCCTAACCTAGCTACAGAACCCAGGAACTATATCCAACCTAACCTAGCTACAGAACCCAGGAACCATATCCAACCTAACCTAGCTACAGAACCCAGGAACCATATCTAACCTAACCTAGCTACAGAACCCAGGAACTATATCCAACCTAACCTAGCTACAGAACCCAGGAACCATATCCAACCTAACCTAGCTACAGAACCCAGGAACCATATCTAACCTAACCTAGCTACAGAACCCAGGAACTATATCCAACCTAACCTAGCTACAGAACCCAGGAACCATATCCAACCTAACCTAGCTACAGAACCCAGGAACCATATCTAACCTAACCTAGCTACAGAACCCAGGAACTATATCCAGCCTAACCTAGCTACAGAACCCAGGAACTATATCTAACCTAACCAGCTACAGAACCCAGGAACTATATCCAGCCTAACCTAGCTACAGAACCCAGGAACTATATCCAACCTAACCTAGCTACAGAACCAGAACTATATCTAACCTAACCTAGCTACAGAACCCAGGAACTATATCCAGCCTAACCAGCTACAGAACCCAGGAACTATATCTAACCTAGCTACAGAACCCAGGAACCATATCCAACCTAACCTAGCTACAGAACCCAGGAACTATATCCAACCTAACCTAGCTACAGAACCCAGGAACTATATCAACCTAACCTAGCTACAGAACCCAGGAACTATATCCTAACCTAGCTACAGAACCCAGGAACTATATCTAACCTAACCTAGCTACAGAACCCAGGAACTATATCCAACCTAACAGAACTAGCTACAGAACCCAGGAACCATATCTAACCTAACCTAGCTACAGAACCCAGGAACCATATCTAACCTAACCTAGCTACAGAACCCAGGAACTATATCCAACCTAACCTAGCTACAGAACCCAGGAACCATATCCAACCTAACCTAGCTACAGAACCCAGGAACCATATCTAACCTAACCTAGCTACAGAACCCAGGAACTATATCCAACCTAACCTAGCTACAGAACCCAGGAACCATATCCAACCTAACCTAGCTACAGAACCCAGGAACCATATCTAACCTAACCTAGCTACAGAACCCAGGAACTATATCCAACCTAACCTAGCTACAGAACCCAGGAACCATATCCAACCTAACCTAGCTACAGAACCCAGGAACCATATCTAACCTAACCTAGCTACAGAACCCAGGAACTATATCCAACCTAACCTAGCTACAGAACCCAGGAACTATATCCAACTAACCTAGCTACAGAACCCAGGAACTATATCCAACCTAACCTAGCTACAGAACCCAGGAACTATATCTAACCTAACCTAGCTACAGAACCCAGGAACTATATCCAACCTAACCTAGCTACAGAACCCAGGAACTATATCCAACCTAACCTAGCTACAGAACCCAGGAACTATATCCAGCCTAACCTAGCTACAGAACCCAGGAACTATATCCAACCTAACCTAGCTACAGAACCCAGGAACTATATCCAGCCTAACCAGGGCCCCAGACCTTCCCTTTCTGTTGGGGGGTTAAATTCCTCAGATTCCCAGGATAACAAACTGAAATAATACCATTTTTGTCTCCATGGAAATAGGTTTTTCTTATGTTTTTCAAGGAGATGTGAATAAATGTAATGCTGTGACCTTTATTTCCAGCATTAGTTCTTATTTATGGACTAGTGGGGAAAACTACCAGTATTATGGTTTGAAACTTATTGGTGAAGCAGACAACAAGAACCAACCCAGCCACAACTACCTGAAGTGATGGGTTATGTTAGATTGGTTCTTGTTTTGAACACCAATGGTAGTAAGCTTTTATTGGTTTTCTTGCATTACCTTTGCTTGAATCGACTTACTTTTTGCCATTGTTTGCATACCTGCACTGTCTTTGTGCTGTCACTTACAAAAGTTGGTAAATTTGCATAAGTCAACTGGTATTGAATTTTGAGATTTTTGTGGTTGCAGTCAATAGTTTAGACATTTCTAAGATACTTTTCTTCTATGACATTTCTCTTGCAAACGACCTATCATAACCTCTTACAGCCCCTCTGGACCCCATGGTATTTATTTTTATTTATTTTTTATTTATTTTTATTTTTACAGGGATTAGCCCACCTGGGCACAGGTCACTGACCCACATCGGGGCCTGGGTGGGCGAAAATGTAATACCCAGTAATAATAATAATAATTAGTTCATAGTAAATAAAATTTGTAATACAAAATACAAAATTAAAAACAAAATAATAACATTAATAATAAAAAACAAAAACACCGATAATAATAATAATAATAATAATAAAGAACCATAAAGAAATACAAAAATGAAAAAAAGATTGAGTGAAAAACGATATATGTATGTTGTGTTGTGTTGTCAAAGTAAGAGAAACAATTTAAACCCTGCAATTCAAAAGGAGACCATAAACAAACAGTTCTGGGGTTTTGTTCATGGGAAGTTTATTTTTTGAATGTACCGTACTGTACCCAAATGGCAAGTAGGCTGTGCTGTCCACGGTCTTGGTGAATTTACAAAAACCATCTCCGACTACAGTTCACGTACACTTCCAGTCAGTGGTTCAGTCCTGCTAAATATTGTAGTATTGGCAGTTTGCTTTAATGCCTGCAGTGAAATTTTCATCAGATCACCCGTAGCTTAACTCCAAGTTTATTTCACCTGAAGATATTAACCACCCTAATCTAGCCTGACTTGGCCAGATGTAACATAACCTAACTCAACCTACCATAATCTAACCACCCGAAGGGCAGTTAATATTCAGGTGAAATAAACCGGGGTGTCTAATCTGCAGGTGATCCTTTTCTTCTCTTCAAAAGATGTAGCTGCAAGAATATACACATCTGGGGGCAAGCTAATCACCTGGTCAGACCACTTAACCTCAGCATAATCTAATCACCTGGTCAGACCACTTAACCTCAGCATAATCTAATCACCTGGTCAGACCACTTAACCTCAGCATAATCTAATCACCTGGTCAGACCACTTAACCTCAGCATAATCTAATCACCTGGTCAGACCACTTAACCTCAGCATAATCTAATCACCTGGTCAGACCACTTAACCTCAGCATAATCTAATCACCTGGTCAGACCACTTAACCTCAGCATAATCTAATCACCTGGTCAGACCACTTAACCTCAGCATAATCTAATCACCTGGTCAGACCACTTAACCTCAGCATAATCTAATCACCTGGTCAGACCACTTAACCTCAGCATAATCTAATCACCTGGTCAGACCACTTAACCTCAGCATAATCTAATCACCTGGTCAGACCACTTAACCTCAGCATAATCTAATCACCTGGTCAGACCACTTAACCTCAGCATAATCTAATCACCTGGTCAGACCACTTAATCTTATCCTCTTATCTTTCTTATTTAATCTAACTTATCATATTGCCTGATATCATGACCATATCTAGTCTACTTAATATACCTGTATTAATATTTCTGAACCTTGGATTCTGGGTTTGTTATTTGCATAAAGAAGTATTGAGCATCAACTTGGCATTCAGATTATGGAACAGTTGGTGAGGGTGGAGGGGGAGGAGTTGGTGGAGGGTCGAGGGGAGGAGTTGGTGGAGGGGAGGAGTTGGTGAGGGTGGAGGGGAGGAGTTGGTGAGGTGGAGAGGAGTTGGTGAGGGTGGAGGGGGAGGAGTTGGTGAGGTGGAGGAGGAGTTGGTGAGGTGGAGGGAGGAGTTGGTGAGGGTGGAGGGGGAGGAGCGAGGGGGAGGAGTTGGTGAGGGTGGAGGGGGAGGAGTTGGTGAGGGTGGAGGGGAGGGAGTTGGAGGGGTGGAGGGGAGGAGTTGGTGAGGGTGGAGGGGGAGGATTGGTGAGGGTGGAGGGGGAAGAGTTGGTGAGGGTGGAGGGGGAGGAGTTGGTGAGGGTGGAGGGGAGTTTAAAAGAAAAAATATTTTGTCATAACATTTCAGCTTTACAGTACAGGCAGTCCTTGATTTACGATGATTTGCTTTACAAAAATCAGAAGTTATGAAAACAAATTTTCTCTCCCATACTGTACAGTATTTTGATTTACATACAAAAAATGTGATTAATTGTTTTTTTCCTTATTATTTGGCAACTTCACAAGATGCTGAGGGGCTGACACAGGCATCTCAGGGCTTCCTGTACTGAACCTGGTCAATTTCTAAAAACAATGAAATATATCATATAACATAACATGCCACTATCAGCGTGAACGGGCGGTCAGACTGGCGTGTTTATATTATTAAATAAATACTGAACATACTGTACTGCATTTTGATTTGCTGCCTACTCATTTGCTAGAATTGACTGGCCAATAGCAACGCAGGATTTGGTCGCTTCATTTCCGAGGTTAAAATGCTTCTCATTCAAGCCTGCCAGATTTGAACGAGGCCATGAACTTGACCTCGTGGGTTCTGGCAGTATGATACGAACGCGGCCTCACGGAGGTTACAGGTCAACACTTTTAGGGAACTCTCATCTTATAAATAAATTAGCTGCATATATAGTGTTTAATGTACTGTATAGTGTATTTTATATTTTAATGTAAGTATGTAATGATATTTTCTTTATTTTGTTATTTAAGCACTTAAACAAATGCTCAATTGAGTTTGAGTGTGTGGTGCAGTTTTCAGTAGCGAACACCTGTGTCCGCCTTGTATGTACAATAATTAATTTGTCACATATTGTGTTTATTATTGGTTTATAATCATTGTGCACACTAATTTTTTATTAAAAACATACACTATGTACATTTAATGGGTTTGGGAGGTATTTTTGTAACAACGTATCTAACCTTTATACTGTAATTGAAGTCTGGGAAAATTTGATCTGGTTTATAAAGAAATTACATACTGTAACTAATACAATACAGTACCTATACTACTGTATTATTATTATTATTATTATTATTATTAGTATTAGTATTACAGTAGTAGTGATAGTACTGTACCCTATACAGTGTACAGTATATACTATTGCTGTATCTTTCTTTTTGATTATCTTATTAATTGTATTACGGTATTAGTAATTTTATTATCGTTATTATTATTATTTCATTATTACATCTGTATTATTATTATTATTATAATTATTAATTGCATAACTCAAGAGTGCCCAAAATCAACTTACATGTAGACAATTTTGGTTTTCCACTTCACAGATGTACATGCTGATGAATATGTATACAGCCACTCCTCGACTTACAACCTACTCGACTTACGACCACCCGGACATATGACCGCCCCAGTCATACCAAAATGTTTTCAAATTACGTATTTTCGAGTCCCGACGTTAGTGATTGCGCTGTGTACTGACAAAATTTTCATTTGTAATTCCCTTTAAAATGGCTGGCAAGCTTAAAAGTGAGAGTTTTGTGGTGCTGAGAAGAGAAAAAGAGACACCCATTTTAGATTTTTTATGTACTGTATTATCTTCGCATTTTCGACTTACGACCTGGATTTGGGTCCCTAACCCCGTCGTAAGTCGAGGAGTGGCTGTATATGCAACTCACAGATGTGTTGTCAGCTGTTAGCTCTAGTCGAGGCCATGGTAAATGAAACATTTACCCTCACATCTTGCTACAAACATAATGCTAAACCATTCCATTGCCAACAGGGAAGATGATGATGTTGGTCCGAGTTCTCCTCCTCAGTTTGCTCTTTACGTTTGCATTTGCCGAGGATTTCTACGGGCTGCTCGGGGTTACTAAAAATGCAAACCAGAAGGAGATACGCAAAGCTTTTAAAGAGAAGGCGCTGAAGCACCACCCAGACAAAAACACGGTGAGGAGGCGAATCAATACTTACTATTGTTTATCTTACCTTAATATTATTCTGGGTGTTAGTGTTATCTCAAGTGACTCCAGTCTTAAGGAAATTCAGGTAGGGTGCAGGATGTAAGGAGAGGGGCATGGTGCAGGATGTAAGGAGAGGGGCATGGTGCAGGATGTAAGGAGAGGGGCATGGTGCAGGATGTAAGGAGAGGGGCAGGGTGCAGGAATGTAAGGAGAGGGGCATGGTGCAGGATGGGAGAGGGCATGGTTCAGGATGTAAGGAGAGGGGCATGGTGCAGGATGTAAGGAGGGGCAGGTGCAGGATGTGGAGAAGTAGGAGAGGGGCAGGGTGCAGGATGTAAGGAGAGGGGCAGGTGCAGGATGTAAGGAGAAGGATGTAAGGAGAGGGCAGGGTGCAGGGGAGAGGGGCATGGTGCAGGATGTAAGGAGAGGGGCAGGGGTGCAGGATGTAAGGAGAGGGGCAGGAGGGGGGCAGGCAGGATGTAAGGAGAGGGGCATGCATGTGGGAGAGGGGCAGGGTGCAGGATGTAAGGAGAGGGGCAGGTGCAGGATGTAAGGAGAGGGGCATGGTGCAGGATGTAGGTGCAGGGAGAGGGGCATGGTGCAGGATGTAAGGAGAGGGCAGGGGTGCAGGAAAGGAGAGGGGCATGGTGCAGGATGTAAGGAGGGGCATGGTTGTGGAGGGCAGGTGCAGGATGTAAGGAGAGGGCATGGTGATGTGAGAGGGGCAGGGTGCAGGATGTAAGGAGAGGGGCAGGGTGCAGGATGTGGAGGGGCATGGTTCAGGATGAAAGGAGAGGGGCAGGATGCAGGGCATGTCAGGATGTAAGGAGAGGGCATGGTGCAGGATGTAAGGAGAGGGCATGGTGCAGGATGTAAGGAGAGGGGCATGGTGCAGGATGTAAGGAGAGGGGCAGGTGCAGGATGGGGGCAGGGTGCAGGATGTAAGGAGAGGGGCAGGATGTAAGGAGGGGCATGGTGCAGGATGCAAGGAGAGGGGCAGGGTGCAGGATGTAAGGAGAGGGGCAGGATGTAAGGAGGGGCATGGTGCAGGATGCAAGGAGAGGGGCAGGGTGCAGGATATAATATGGACAAAATTCATTAAATAGTGGGTACAGGTATTCTGGTGCATTTATTTAAATCCTGTTTGTATTTTATTTTCTAGTTTTGAAACTATTGAGAATCAGAAGTGCAAATCTCACTACAGGCCAATATACTGCAGATGTTAACTCCTTCTTTACAGGGACATCACTTTTAATATTTTATTTGGCTAATGCCAGACGATTTAATTCAGTAGAGAATGGATCCCGTACATATTAAACTCGGATATAAAATCAGTCCATGAGTGTGTACTGGGCATGTATTTGTATTCAGTTTGTGTTTGAAGAAATATAATGATTGATCCAAACTCAGATATTCATTTAGTAATTATTACTTAGGTCAGTGATATGAGATCTGACTTGGTCACACAAGTCACAACTCAAAGATAGATTTTCAAGGATATATTCCCCCTTCTGGTGATGTAAGTCTGTCAACTTGCCTATGGAAATTGTCACAAAAAGAAGGTAGGTAACTAAGAGAGGGCCATAAATGCACTAACACTGAAGATTGGAAGAGCCTGTGGTTCTCCTGATCACAGTCACCCTGTGCTATAGGAGTCAGAGGGTTGCAAGAGTGAAATAAAATAAATAAAAAATACACTTTTTAATAACTAGATTTCATGTACTGTAGATCCACAATGAAAACGTGGATAAGATAAATCTTGATAAAATCACACGGGAAAAGGGAAACAACGGAGCACCTTAGCTTTTTCTTTATTCAAGACATCTTCAGAGGCAACTGGATTACATGGACAGAGAGAGGCTTAAATATACAGGGTGACCTTAAAAACATGAGGTCAGGTAATAATGCTGTCATCCACTAATCCCCACACCAACACACACGTAGAGGCGCTTAAGAGAAGGGGGGTGACGTGACTAGTCAGGTCAGGTCAAAAATAAGGGACCCACTAAATAACTATCATACATCTAGATCAAAGGTTTTCAAAGCATTTTTTACCTTGGGCCACTGACAAATAAATTTATGTAACATATTATCAGTTTTGAACTGACCATCACTAAGGTTTTTTTTATTTTAATTCCTTAATCAAACTAGCTTCAACCAGAAGTCTTTCTGTGACACAAGATGATTTAAATACTTCTAAGCTTATTTCCCAAGCAATGGGATGATTATTATTCCTAACATGAACGAACAAGGCACTGCTTTCAGATGCTGTTCTGATAGTGTAGTTACGTTGTTTGATTCTGAGCTGCAGTGTTTTTCCTGTCTGTCCTACATAATTACAATTACATTTGCTACATGGAATACAATAAACACTTCCATTTACATTCAAACTTGGGCTATTTCTTATTAACATATTAGTAATGGTTTGTCCTGTTAGTTTGGTCCCTCAAGCTACTAAATATTAATGTTGTTTTCAAGTATGACTCTGGCAAGCTAATATTCATTTGGCACAACATTGGTACAAATGAAAAGTTTAATTACAAGTGTTATTGGTGTTTTTAATACAGTGGCACCATCCCTGAAAAGCCTGGCTGAGGTGTTTTTAATACCTGTGATCTTTCATATAAATGGAAAATTCCTCAAAGTTTGGCTCATTACATTCACACATGATGTACTGTAGATATGCAGAAACTTCCTACTTGTTGAATAAAAAAATGTTTTGCTGGGTGTAACAATTGTGTTAATAAAGTCAGTGCTCTTGATGTGTATTTCTTATGTTTAGTTAAGAAATGTCAATGTATGTGATCTGTGCTTCCTAACATTTATCTGAATTCAGAATACAAACACTAATGATGGTCAGTCTGTACTGTGACTAAAGCACATTATTTTTCATATTGGCTGAAGAGTGTAGACAGCAGAAACGGAGGGCAGTTACACAAGGTTAGGTTATGGAATATGTGAATCTTAGTGGATAATGTTTTTCAGAAGTTACTGTGTTTATTTACTCTCTGTGATGCAGGTATGCAGTAAATAACATTTTATTTGATATGATTGTGTAACATGTTTTTCAATGTCACCAATAGGATGATCCAGAGGCACATGAGAAATTTGTTCGCATAAATCGTGCATATGAAGTGCTCAAGGACGAAGAATTGAGAAAGAAATACGACTTGCACGGTGAAGAAGGTCTTGATGAGAGCAGGTGAGGTGTAGGCTGCATATTATTCTCTTGCTTCATTATACAGTATCTTTGTTCTGATTCCTGTTGATATTATATTATCAATTGGAATCAGAACCTCTACTACTCATACAATATCATTTATATTTGTACACATTTTAGTAAGTATACTTTTTAGGTTGTCACATTTACAAACACTAACCCCATTAGCATGTAGCAACACCCCAATATGTCTGTTTTTCACCCATTTAAACTTTTTTTTTTGCTGCAGTATGGCCGGGATATATAGCGACTTATATAAAAAATATTTTATATCGCAGCTACCAAAATTATCAACATTTTCCCATATATAGCGATAATTTTTTTTATTTGGCGATGGAAATCGGGCAGGAAATATTTCAAATTTATCACGAAAGGTACTACCAAAATTATCAAAATTTTCCAATATATAGCAATAAATTTATATACAGTAGACTCACAACTTACGTGGGGTTATGTTCCTGGGGCCTCACATAAAGCCAAAAACCGTATAAAGTCAGAAATACCCCTAAATCGCCCCCAAAATACGAGTTTAATTATTTTTTTTCTTGTGCAAAATATATGATGTCTATATATTCAAATTATTTGCTGTCTTGCAAGGATTCCAGCAATGCAATTTATATTCTGCTAACTTTAGTCTATGACATTTTATAAGATAAAAACTTTAAGCCTAAAACCACTTTCAGTCTTGCTGGAAGTGGAGGGAGGAGTTGATGTATTATGACTGCTGGCACCAGCCCCTGGCCAAGGTTACCTAATGGTATTTATTTATCTGTCATATAGGTGGAGTTTATGTTTTTCTCTTATAAAATGTCAATGAATTGACTTAAGAGAATATAATTAACATTGCTGGAATTCTTGTAAGATAGTGATTAATTTGAATAAAAACATGCTATAGTTCACAATAGACAAATTTTTTTAGTACTAATTGGTACATCTTAATACAAAGGTCTAGAATTTTTATCTCTTGTGCAAAGTATGTGATGTATATATTCAAATTATTCGCTATCTTGCAAGGATTTCAGCAATGCAATTTATATTCTGCTAACTTTAGACTGTGCCATTTTATGTTGAGTTTAGTCACTTTTATTGGCCTCCAGAACCAAACCCTATTTCCCCATTGATTACATATACCTCGCGATACATCCCGACCCTACTGTACTGTACTGCAGAGTGGCTGGAATCAATAGCCAACACATGCACCCACCCGCCCTGGATTTACACTCCGCGCTATTGCATTATGCGCAAGGTGGCCGATGGGAAGTGATCTTTGCTGAAGTGTCTCACACCCCTCCACTCCACCCAGCTGGGGCTGAGGCAGGCATTGTAGGTCTGGCAGAGAAGGGAGACTCGAGGACAAGTCAGCCAGCAATCAAAACATTCACCAGTTGCCCACGTAAATTTTGTGAAAACGAAGATTTATAAGTTTTACCCCGACATTGCCCCTATTTATTGCCACAACTCCTGTTGTTTCTTTGTTTTTTTTACCACAATGGGCAAGAGGAAAGACTTAACAAAAGAGCAGATAGCATCAATTATTAGTCTGCATAAGGGCAAGAAGCCTGTAAAGGAAATATCAAGAATTGTTGGTGTGAGTGAACGATCAGTTCCAATTTGGATTAAACGATTTCGAGATGATGGCGAGTTAGCAATACCAGTGTACAACGGACGGCCAGGGAAGGCTCGAAAAACTTCCCAACTCACGTTAACTGTTCTTAAGAGGCAACTTGATGCTAATACACGTTTGACAGCACGGGAATTGAAAGAAAAACCCTGTACTTCTAGGTGATGTTTCTGTAAGGACCATTCACCGCTACATCCATGAAGACCTGCAGTTTCGCAGCCACTGCACATGCAAGAAGCCACTCTTCACCCTTGTCCAGAGGCAGCGTAGGGTGGCTTTTGCCAAGGCTAATGCTCAGTGGGATACGACCAAGTGACAGCACATGCTGTGGAGTGACGAGGCAACGTTTTCTTTTACTGGAAGTCGCCCTTTTAATGTGTACAGGCACCCCCGGGAGTGATTCGTTTGACCCCAAGTTCACTTTGAGCACAGTTAAGCATCCTGAGTCACTAATGGTGTGGGGTTGCTTCTCGTACTTTGGAACTGGTGATCTTATTGTGCTACCTAGGAATGTGATGATGAACCAATTTAACTACTTGGAGCTGCTTTGTGATTATTTGCCCGGGTCTTTTGAAAAATGCCGCACTGATGTGTTTATGCAGGATGGTACCCCATGTCATACAGCAAAATATGTAATACCATGGCTTGTTGACTGTCAGGTAGATTTCATAAGTGATTGGCCATGCAATTTGCCTGACCTTAACCCGATAGAAAATAAGTGGAGCATTATCAAGCTTTGTCTACAAGGCAAGGACACAAATACCGGCCCCAAGCTGGAGGCAGCCATTCGTGAGGAGTAGAATAATTTAGACCCAAAAATAATCCACAACTTGGCAGAATCAGTTCCTTCATGCCTATAGGAGTGTATCAAGAGAAGAGGGAAGCCTATAGACTACCGGAAGTTTGTTAACTTCTCAGATTAATTTTTTATTAATATTTCATCTTGTTGTTTATGTCCGTCATGACCCCACGCATAATGCAATGGTGAGGAGTGTACAACCCGTTCACTTCAAGCTCCCTCATCTTTCCATTGTCTTGGTCTTTCCTTCTTGCTACCATCCACATCTAGTTCAACACTCTTTTTGTCAGTCTTTTGTTTATCATTCTCTCAATACCGTATGTTCATATCATCTATTTAATACTGATCTGCTCTCTGCCCAACTTCATGCAATTTCATACTGTATCTCTTCTTCATTTCTGTTATTTTCTGTATACAGTGAGTTCTGCTATAACGCGTGTTTTGATAACGCGAATTTGCTCTAACGCGATTTATGAATTCGGAACAATATTTGTATAACGCGATCGCTTGTTTGCTATAACGCGATTTTTGCTTACTATTTCTCCAATTTTGTGGTATTAACTGTGAATATGGTAAAGAAGAATATCTCCAAAAAGCATTCTGATGATAGAATTCCCGGTGATTATCGTAAAAGAAAGGATATAACACTTGAAGAGAAGCTTGATGTTATCAACCTCAAAATCACCCTTCTCCCCCATCAAGTTACATTCATATTTTTTCATGGTAAAGTGTTAAATTTACTGTATGATTTCATTATTAGATATGAATGTAACATTTATTTAGACTGTGCTATCCTTTGTGTTAGGCTAACTACTAAATTTTTTCGATTTCGAGTAATCTGCACCTAACCCTATTTTCTCCATAAGCCCTGTTATTTCTATTACGCGATTTTCTATAACACGATATTTTACAAGAACACAATTATCGCGTTATAGCAGAACTACCTGTACTGTACTTTTCACTCCACTTATTGCCCTCAAACATGTCACTCATATTGTTTATTCTTTCTTTCTTCCTTCCTCTTATGTCCAGGGTCTGGGCTTCACATTCATGTAATAATGTCAGGTGAATGATTTTCTGAATTAATATATTTGTCTCCTTTCTCCTTTGATATTCAAGTATCCCTCGTTATACAAATGTTTGAGATAAAAAAAATTATATACAGTATATGAATTTCCTAAATTACCACATCTTTTACACCTTATGAAAGTTCCCTGCTTGTACAAATTTGGGCCCCGGCAAAAATTCAAGTTGCCCGCCCGCGAGAGTCAGCTGGGGCAGCCACTTCCCGATAGCACTCTCCCTACATATATAACATGTGAAAAAAGTAAAAGAAATAACTAAGGTCAAAAACAAAGGAAATAAACATTTCTTTGTATGTGAGAGCGGGGGAGGGAGCGTTGCTGAGGCTTGGCAGAGGTGGCTGGGCTGCATTGCTGTGGTGACACATGATGGCGGCCACGCGTGAAACACCCAGCATCTGTGCAAATGGTGCCACTGGGTGCTGTGTTAAACTTTGATTTAGCATTTCCTTAATAGTTTTAGTTACATAATTTCATAAGTATTTTATTAATGTTTTTATTGTGTTAGGTAGTAAATTAGAGTACAGTAAGTCCTCGCCCAACGTCGGCCCGCTTAACGTTGTTTCGGTACTACTTCGCTAAACTTTAGAGACCAAAAATTCGTTTAACGTCCCGGTGACTCGGTACAACGTCATTTTGCGCATCACCTTCTCTTGTCTGGCCGCGGAACGTCACGGCGTTCCCAAGCAACGCCAGTCTTTGTTAGGCTTCCACAGTGTTCGTGAGTGTTTAAGTGTTTTTGTTCTTAATACTGTACTGTAACCATTCAAAATGGCTTCCAAGCGCCCATCAAGTGCTACTGATACTGGCGTTGTGAAGAAGCAACGTAAGACCATTAGCCTTGCCACAAAAATGGGGGTTTTAAACCATTTTGAGAGGGAGGAGGAACTACCCGCCGGGACTCGGTGAATTGCCACCCTCCTGCCATCTGCCTCCACCTCTTCAGTACCCACCACACACTCGCTCTACCACCTCCACCCATTGGTGAGTACAGGTAGTTCTGCTATAACGCGATAATTGTGTTCTTGTAAAATATCGTGTTATAGAAAATCGCGTAATAGAAATAACAGGGCTTATGGAGAAAATAGGGTTAGGTGCAGATTACTCGAAATCGAAAAAATTTAGTAGTTAGCCTAACACAAAGGATAGCACAGTCTAAATAAATGTTACATTCATATCTAATAATGAAATCATACAGTAAATTTAACACTTTACCTTGAAAAAATATGAATGTAACTTGATGGGGAGAAGGGTGATTTTGAGGTTGATAACATCAAGCTTCTCTTCAAGTGTTATATCCTTTCTTTTACGATAATCACCGGGAATTCTATCATCAGAATGCTTTTTGGAGATATTCTTCTTTACCATATTCACAGTTAATACCACAAAATTGGAGAAATAGTAAGCAAAAATCGCGTTATAGCAAACAAGCGATCGCGTTATACAAATATTGTTCCGAATTCATAAATCGCGTTAGAGCAAATTCGCGTTATCAAAACACGCGTTATAGCAGAACTCACTGTATCAATACCAACTTAGTAGTTGTATATGCATGCACTGTTTTCTATAGAAATGGCAATGATTTTCTGTATATGTAATGTACAATATTTCATGGGGCAAAGGAAGGCTAAGAAACGTAACTCCCATATTTTATCTATTTCTTATGGGGAAAATTGATCCGCTTAACTTTGTTTCGTATAATGTCGCATTTTCACGAACGTAACCCCGACATTAAGCGAGGACTTACTGTAGTTGTTTATTTATCATTTATTAGGCAAATTTTTATCTTGTTTGTGAACCAATTTTGTGCTTTGAGTATTTTTGTCTTGGTGAACCGAACTCTTTTTCCCACTTGTTCAGTTATTCGAGACATGAAAATTTACTTAACGATTTTTTTTTAACCCCATTCGTATATCGTGGGATACCTGTACATAGTTCCCCCCCCTCTCTGTGGTTCAGGGTATCACTGAATGTTTCATGTGCCAACACATCCACTTCCAAATATTAGAAACACTTCACTTCTTCCATTCTGTCAACATTCAAGCTAACATTCATTTCTTCTTGTCTCCCATCTCTACTAATTTCCATTGCCACACACACACACATTTTTCTTATTCATTATATATTTTTTTCCAGGTCATGGCAGCAGTACCATTCATGGAACTACTACCATGATAATTTTGGCATATACGATGATGATCCCGAAGTCATTACACTTAATAAGGCAGACTTTGGTAAGTACAGCAGTTAGTGAGTACAGTAGTTTGTGGAGTAAGTAAATAGGGAATGAGTGAGTGAGTAAAGTATGAGAGACCATTTTCCCTGCCACCTCTTTCTCCCACAAGTTTTAAGACTTATGTTTGGATATTTAGAAGTACACAGTTAACTGTGGACTGAACTGTAAAAAAAAATTATACACATCCCCATTTCCAGTCAATATTATGGTAGTGAACTCCTTCCTAACCACAAATCAAAATGAAGGTACAGGTACTGTACAAAAGTGTACTTACATACTACACCCAATATTACATTAATACGCCAGTTCTGATTTCTGATCAAAAGGGGGTTAGAATTGTGGAGTTACTTCCTCCTCAGTACTACACAATTTTTTTTTCTTGTCATAAACGTAAATTTGTATCGACAGAACAGAGTGTGAGTGGGTCTCCAGACATCTGGTTCATCAACTTTTACCACCCTATGTGCTCCCACTGCCACACACTGGCACCGGTGTGGCGGGAGGTCGCTAGGGAGCTTGAGGGAGTGGTTAGAATTGGAGCGGTGAACTGTGATGACGATTATCACTTGTGTTCTTCCCAAGGCATTCGTTCATATCCAACGCTCATCTCGTATCCAGGGGTAAGTACTAATTAATAGTTAGATAAGCTTAGTTTGGCATAGCTTAGGTTGTGTTGGGTTAGCTTAGTTTAGCATTGGTTAGTTTTGGTAAGATTCAGTCAGGTTAGATAGATAATGCTAGTTTTGATGAGGTCAGAGTATATTAATTTAACTTAGGTTAGCATAATTAAGATGAAGTTCAGTTGGCAGCTTTAGTTAGCCTGTAACGTAATCAAAGAATAAATGTTGGATGTTGCTTATTCTTATGGTCATGAGGGTGAATTATGAATTATTTTTTTTCTCTCTCTCTCTCTCTCTCTCTCTCTCTCTCTCTCTCTCTCTCTCTCTCTCTCTCTCTCTCTCTCTCTCTCTCTCTCTCTCTCTCTCTCTCTCTCTCTCTCTCTCTCTCTCTCTCTCTCTCTCTCTCTCTCTCTCTCTCTCTCTCTCTCTCTCTCTCTCTCTCTCTCTCTCTCTCTCTCTCTCTCTCTCTCTCTCTCTCTCTCTCTCTCTCTCTCCTCTCTCTCTCTCTCTCTCTCTCTCTCTCTCTCTCTCTCTCTCTCTCTCTCTCTCTCTCTCTCTCTCTCTCTCTCTCTCTCTCTCTCTCTCTCTCTCTCTCTCTCTCTCTCTCTCTCATTACATTTATAATTTTTTTATTTCAGAGATCGAGATACTCACAAGAGAAGACCAAGGAGGATTTATTAAACTACATGCTCCAGCAGGTGCGATCTTCTGCTGTGAGTCTCACCTCCACCAAACTAAGAAACCTTTTGTCCAAGGAGGAGTATAGCACCAGACCATGGCTCATTATTTTCTTTGCTGACAATGATGAGGTTGACGAGTTTTGGGTCACTCAGATCAAGCTAAGTGCTATTTTGGTAAGTTTTCCATACCCTCTTTGGCTTTTATTTCCTTGAGTGAACTTATACATGACTGTAGTAATGCCATGTTTGTAGTGTGTTGATATTGCCTGAATTCAGTGTATAATAACCCCCACTTAAAAAAAATCACCACCCAGCAAAATTTTTGCCCAAATGCAGTGCGCCCCAGGCACAGAGAGTGCCTCCATTGTATGAGTGACCATGGTGGATGCCCATGCCATGACGTCACTGAGCATTGCTATGTGATTGGTTTATGAAAACTTTGTTGAAGTGTAATTCTCAGCCCTTCAGTTAAATGAATTAGAAAGTGGCCTTAGGCCTTTTAAATCCCCTTTATTAACTCCCTAGGTTAAATTGGATTATTATTAGGGGAGAGAGAGAGACCAAAGAATTAAACACAATAGAACATACAGGAAGAATACTGTATGTAAATATAGTAATAGCTACTGACTGTGGAAAGCATTCCATTAAATGTATATATATAACCCAGTGTGCTAGACTCTGAACCCTGTTGTATAACTATTTGTGTGTGTTAGGCTGAACTATTGGTAATTTTCCCAATTCCTAGTTATTATTGTTCCCTCCTTTGCTTCTATGTCTTGGCATCACCCGTTTTCTAAGTGTGGGTGGAGGAGGCCTTTGCACCCCTCTCTCCCTCTGCTGCTCAACACACACACCTCCCTCATAGCCAGCTCACCTTCTTCCCACATATCTCTAGGCACTTAATATAATATAATACAGAACTGGTATGGTATCATTTATCAGACATGAGTGGTATCTGAGGGTTACCAGGTAAGGGCTTTTCTGGAATTTGCAGTGCCAGACCTAAAAGGGACTAAATTTACAGTAAAAACTCTGTAACTGGCTGTGAAGACTGCTCAGATCACTATAGTCCATTTGCTTTAAGCTTGCATCTGAGGTGTAGGGTCAATTTGTAGCATGGCAGTTAATTGGTTAGCAGACGGACACCAGAAGAGCCACAGCAATTCTTCAGTATTTAATCTATTGTATTTAAATTCCGATATTTTAAGGAATAATTTTTAATTTTTTTGTGTTGATCTCTGATAATTAATTTATGCATTTGTGGTGAAGCAACCAGATTGCCTCCCACACACAATTCACTTTCCACTTATCATTTTATAGTTTTATACAGTATTATATTTTTTTATTTCTAAGTCAGATTAAAGCATTGAAATGATATGTTCACAAATTATATCGTTTCATATGTAAATAACACTCTTGCAGCTGGCACTAGGCTGTGAATTATGAATATTTGACCATGAATTTGTATTTTGTGAATTATCGCGACTCCACTGCACTGGATTAAATGAAATGACCAGGTAAAAGTTGTTGGGTCTTGTTATGGAACGGGAACACCATAACAGAACACTGTAAGAGTGAAGGAAAAATCAGTGATTGGATGAGAATCTTTGTTACTACTGATTTTGGCTTCCCTGCATTGGTGAACAAGGGCTCCAAAGAAACATTATCTGTGAGTATTTGATGTAATTTTTTATTTATTTATTTATTTTTTTTACATCAACTACTGTTGGAAGTTGTGTTTTACCAGATTTTGATGTGATCACTGTGTTGCTGCACTAGATTCTGACATATTCACAGAGATGCTGCACTAGAATTGTATTTGTTCTCTGCTCTTCAGGATGGCTTAGTCACCGTTGGTTTTGTGGAGTGCTTCAGGCAAAAGGACCTCTGTACCAGTCTTGACATGCAAACTGGTATTAAGTTCTTTGCCAGTGGCAAAATTGAGTCTGGTGATGGTAGAGAGGTCTCCAGCCTTAATGCCCAGGAAATTGCCAAAGAAGTCTTGGAACTCCTGCCCGAGATGCAGCTTTTAGATGAAGCCACATACAAGGTGAGTCATGCTTTGTGGGTAAATTGACATAAAATACATCTCATTATGAAATACTGTAATCACAAGTCTTATTTAGTTTTAGGAGCTGTTTTGATGATAACTATGAAATTTTCATCAGGTTATTCGTCAGAACCTGGAGTCACACGAAGACTCTGTATCCTGGCTGATCCAGTTTAGTGGAGACAGTGATGATGATGCATTTGAGGTCAGTAGCTAAAAGTTAAATTACCTGTGTTATAGTGTCATGACTTACATCATTGAGTTTCCAGTGACAAATGATCAGATAATTATTATGATATTTGGAATTCTGAACAGACATTTAACATTTATAGGGTTTTCAAATGCAGAATTGCACATGATCTAAATTATCGCTTTTGGGTTTTCGTACGCAAATTTGCAAATGAAGTAAAAAAAAATTATGTTTGCTTATGAACGCTAGACACGTAAGACACACATTTGGCAAGTTAAGCATGATCTGGCAACTATGTAGACTGCACTCCAAGGTCACCACACCAGGCTCCCTTTTGTGTTTAAAGGCCCCAGGATATAATGTTGACCTACACTTCCTAATGCTTGCGCTGATTTCTTGTACAACACAGTGATTTAATTTATTCCTAACAGTTGTGAGAGTTTTGAACCATGCCTCATGTTGTTGGCGAGAGTGGAGGGGTGGGAAAATTTAAAAAGAGCAAGACTACACCACGTGGTGATAGTGTGGTGCCTCCTGATGCCTCTCCCTTGCAAAATATTAATTTTTCTCAACTTTTTTTCTATAACTATGTTTTTACTAAATATGTATGGTTTATAACTGAATAAGGTTCATATTACAATCACATGAAATAACGAAGGCATAAAGTGATGTATAGACATTTTCATTAAGCGTAAACAAATATTTTGTGTTCTACTCGTGCTTACATATAGAAATAATAATTTTATCGTGGTTACCCATACAAAACTGTTTGTAGATAATTTATATACAATTCTAATACAACAAATCTCTCCTTTTTTTCTCAAATAGCTAGCTTGCTATGACTCATTACGTACAATTATCTCTCGTGTGGTGCGGTGAGGTGAGTAACAGGGCAGACCCCGAGCGTCTGGTAGGAGAGCGCCTACTCAAATCCAAGAGTGTTAAGTGTATCCGTCAACATAGCACTTGCAACAGTTTTTTGGTTTATTTACAAATTGTAATGTACTGGTGCCTCACTGTACTAAATATATCCCTAGTGGTTTGCTGTTAATGTAGTAAAACTTTATTTACTTTTTCATTTCTTCTATGGAGGGAATACAGAAATGGCAGATGTCATGTGTATCCTACTAATACGTTAAACTAAGAGGTGTAAATTTTATTCAAACATATATATATGTGGATGTATCACAGCAAGAACCCAGGAAAGTGTGAAAATTGGTATTTTATGTCAGTAATTGTGACCTCTTGGAGTACAATACACTATAAACTATGGCTTGGCAGATGTGCGTACCTTTGATGGCAAACACTTGTACTGATGTCATGTTTTAAGTTCTTCATTTCAATTTCATATTTATTCCTCAGTATGAAATGTTTCATTTTTATATATATATATATATATATATATATATATATACAGTATATATATATATTTTTTTTTTAACTGCTCGTAGTACAGTACAGTAACATATATCTTTATGTTTGAATACTTCCCATGAGCCTCAACCTAATTCTTTTTTGGGTAAAAAAATGTGTATCGTGTATGATACCAAAGAGGGCAGTTTGGCTAAATTGTGAAAGGGTGGCATAACATTTGTTTTCTTTTAACTATGGACAGGAGAATGCAGTTAGTTATGGCATAACCTCAGAGCAATTTTGTGATATACCCTGTACTTTATAATTTCCATGTAAAAGTGGTATTGGCCACAGTAGGTGAAGTGCTGAAGATCATGTCCTTCTTGAATCAACTAGATGCATTCTCAGGTCTATAATTGAGGGAATGTTTAATGTACAGTGCTGCTTTTTTCCATATAACAGATTCGTAAATTGCCTGCTTTACTGCCGTCCCTCAACCTAGGAAGGATAAAATGTTCTCAGATGAAGAAGCAGTGTGATGACCTCTACATCGCTAAAACACCATCATTTATGCTCTTCAAACCTGGTGGAGGATATGAACTTCATCATGTAAGTTTTAATGAAAATCTTTTTATCCTGCTTTGGGGAGTTGTATATACACAGTCCACGACAGTATATATACATGAAGAAAACAGAGAAAGAAAGAGTGAGTGAGTGAGTGAGTGAGTGAGTGAGTGAGTGTTGACTTTATCCTTTACTGTTACCTTCTAGCTTTGTCCTGTACCATTGTCCTGTACCATTCTCCTCTACTCCCCTTCTCTCTCCCCTTCCTTTGTTAGGTTTCAGTAAACTGTATTTCTCTTCACACAGATATAAAGAGGAGCAAAGGTAATTGACTAATTGAAAGACAATACTTACTATATTAAAAATGCTATAGTGTCAGCAATTTAATAAATATTATTAAAATTGTTGACATGTGGGATTTGTTATGTCTTTGGTCAAGTTCATTGTAATCCAGAAAAATAAAACCCGATTCAAGCATCTTGTTTGGTTATATTACTTGCCTCTTATGTTACAATAAGTTATGTTATTTGCCTGTTGTGTTACAGTAGGATTCATCATACAATTGTAATGATTTGGAATTATCAATTACATTTCTTAGGAAATTTTTTTTAATTGTCCTTTGACTAGTTGCTATTATTCCTAGTCCTTTTCTCTCATCATGTCTAAGTTACTTTATCTTACAAGATGTTTGAGTATCTCTGGTAAATACTTTTTTTTGTATATTCCTTATGTGGTTTAATCCTATCAAACATTTGGTTGTATGACTGTATTTTATGGCATATAAGACGCATGGGCATTTAAGTCGAACTCATGCTTCAGCAGGGAATATTTGGGGAAAACACGAAATGACAACCGAGTACAAGCCTTTGCTACAAGCTGATTGATGACGTTACGTGCTAGTGAGACACTATGAACCCCCGACTGGTGGCTCTCTATATTATTCACTGTTATGATAATTTTAAGATTCTTTCAAAGGCTAAAGGATGTTTTCCTTATAGAAATATAAGATAAATTCTGCATGTATGACATTAATAGCTAGTAATGCTTGTAAGAGTTCAGAAATGGTTACTGCTAAGCTCTGAAGAGATGGGTGCCATGTGGGCGCTAATCGTCTCGGGTTAGCATCATCAGTAGTAGTTATAAATCCAGCTCATGTATTTACATTCTTTTTCAATTAATTAAAAGTAAGAGTTTCATTAGCCTACAGGAGACCACAACTTCACATACAAGTACAGTATAGGAAATGGGATGATTTTTGGGGCCCTTTTTTGAAAAAAGAAAATGGTCTTATATGCTGTAAAATACAATACTTAAAATTGTATTTGGTAATTTGTATTTTGGTAAAAGTATGTATGTGTATATTTGTGACAGTATTATCTTCTATGATATAGGGTCGATTACTAGCCCATGACATAGCCGTGTTCGCAAGAGAAGGAGCCTCAGCACCACATTTTCAAATATTGACCCCACAAGAATTCCCTAAAGTGCTCAGCGATGGGTCTACATGGTTTGTGGATTTTTATGCCCCATGGTGCCCACCTTGTATGAAGTTGCTGCCTGAATTCCGCAAAGCCAGCAAACTTATGCAAACACCAATAAATTTTGGTAAGGATTATGTTTTGATTTTTAGTGCAGTAATTATGCTGATAATTTAAGTGTTTGTTTGTTTGAAAAATGGTCTCTGGAAGTGTTTGACTTTTGCATAGTGAAACTTAATGACTCATTAGCGTGAACAGTAGTTGGTGGCTAGAGGATCTTAACCTCACCAGTATGTGTGGTTTGATTTTCTTACTGAGAGGAAAATGTGATGTTAACCTTTTAATGACAGTCCATTGAAAATTTTGGGTGGCTGCCCATACTACAGATTTTCAGGTACAGTTTGTAAAAAAAAAAAAAAATCAAAGGATATTTTATGATTCTGACTTGTTTCTTAGTTTATGTCAGAACAAGTTCTATAAAAAAAATAGACTAGCCACCTCTTTTTTACTCTCTGTTCTGTCAGCTTAGTTCAGTTTTAATCTTAAGTACTGTATTAGTATTTAAGATTAATATCTAGATTATTTATAAACACCTGTCCTGTTGAGCTTGTTTAATTTGTTTTTATTTGTGCAGTAACCCATTTATTTATTTATTTTAGAAAATATATTTGATGTGAAGTAACACAAATGTGAGAAGGGGTATACAGTATAACTGATATTAATCTTTGACATAGTTCTGAGGATCGATAATTACTCACTTGACAGTTTAATGTTAAAATGATGGCATCTCTTACCGAAAGAGTTACCAGGCAGACTAGGGACCCATATTGGCTATATAATCAAGCCTAACCTAATCATTCAAAAACAGGCAGGAAAGGTCTTAATACAACAGTTGTGCGAGTCATCCTTAAAGGATTTAGGAGTAGCTGAAGGAGTCTGTGACAGAATACAGCTAGTATAAGATAGTGTGAGGATATTTGGTCTGGTTGGTAATTTAGTTTGAGTCTTTATAGGATACTTTTGTGTAGCTATAGGCATTATAATCACCATAAACCTAAATCAATCAGCTGTTGGATGAAGGGATTTCTCATGTGACTTTCAGATTTCAACATTTCTGGTCCTAATAACCAGCAGATTTCTTTTATTTCATTTGTCCATCTGATGGTTGGACTTTTTTCTAGGTATAGTATTTCTTATTTCCCAAGGTATTACTGGATGCTGAAGGGTTACTTTGTACATTAAATATATTGTACAAGTTAATCATATGAACAAGAATGTGTGAATATTTCTGCCCATGTCGTAGCTCTCTTCTGTCACTTTCTACACTCGTCTTGCCTAACTTTCCCCTATTTCCCCCCTTTTTTGAGGTACCCTATACTGTAGCTGTACCCATTAATCCACCGGGTGAGGAGTAAGAAAAAAAAGATTGAGAGCTAGACATACTGTATACAGGTGTGGGCAAGGTGACCAGGCTTCCCTATTTCGGCAGGACGGTCCCAATTTTTCAACAAGTGTCCCGCATTCTGACAGCATCTCGATAATGTCCTGCATTTTCAGAATTTGTCCCGAAATTTCCCGCTTCATTAATGAAAGAATAAATTTTGACAAGAAATTCAAACAAATTTTGGGAGATAGAGAGGTTGGCAGTGGGACAAAAAGTAATGTTTGGCAACTTAGCCCTCCAAATTACAGTGGTCCCTCGGTTAACGAACACAATCCGTTCCAGAAGGTTGTTCGTTAACCGAAAAATTCGTTAACCGAAACCATTGTTTCAATGGGTTTTTGGGTAATTGGTTCCAGCTCACCGAAAATTGCCTAAATTCAACAAAAATGGAAGAAAAGTTCACTTACTTTGAGGTGTGTATGTAGAAGGCTCCTGGATGATGATGATGGGAATTAGAATGGGGGTGGAGAAGGAAGAAGAGAAGGCATTGGGGTGGAAGAGAAGTCACCCCATGGCACCATTTCACCCATAAAATTTTAGTTCTCTTGGTGTATTTCAAGATTATTTTCTTTAAATCAACACTGCACTGCATTATATATTGTCAATATGTAAAATATATTTCAAAATGACCAATAATTTGCTTGGAAACAGAAAAAAAGCGTTTAGTTGAAGAGAGTCTCAAGCAAGATGTTACCTCCAGTGAAAACAGAGAGAGACTAACGCCTGTTTGCTGTGTTAAGAGGCTGGATGCCGCGCATTAAACTAGTCACTTTACCTTCAATTATGTTCAATAATTGTTAAAATGACTAAAAAATTGAATATTAAACTTTTAAAATTATTGAATAGTATAAACTTCTTGATATTTACTAAAATAGTAAGGAATTTAAGCCCTAGAACCGATTAATGTATTGGCGGACTAATACTAAAGCTGGTTGACCGGCCAGTGCAAGCGAAAACATGTTGAGGTCGGTTCGTAAGAAATTCGTTAACCGAATTTAAGAATCTTATGGGAGGCAGTTCGTTAACCGAAATTTCGTTAACCGAGGCGTTCGTTAACCGAGGGACCACTGTAGTATGATTCCTGTCCTGTTCCAGCTGTGTGCATAGATGTCATATGTCACATGATATATTTAATATTTTTCGTTCACGTGAGTGTGAAATTCTGTTTGTTGCTATTTATAAAGGCCTCTACCAATATAAAAAGTGCATTGCAATGTCACAGTGGTTTTTGTACATCATATATTGCATTATAATTCTCAATATGTAACATACCTACATGGAAAATGTATACCAACGAGAGGAAAATTTACCAAAACAGGTGGAAAACTGCAACTGCAGGGTATGCTGCTCACTGAATCTGCTTGGAGCATTACACGTGTGACATGCACAAAAAATTAGGAAAGTTATTTATGTGTTGGACAGTTTTTCCTCATTTTAGTTGGGAAAATGGCCAAGCAAAAGTGTACTTTTAATTCCCCTCTGCAGTCAAAATACCCCTTTCTTACAAAATGAAGACAGAAAATGATGTACTGTGTATGAAATATAACAGAGTTTAGCATTGCACATGATGGAGATAATGAAATTACTAAGCATCTAATCTTACAGAAACATAAAGCTGCTGCTGTCACAGTCACTACCTTTTTTAATTAGAAAAGGTTGTCCCCTAGCAGTAAGGATCTGGAAGTGGTTGCTGTTGAGGGTTTATGTATCTACCATACAATCAAAGATAATCAAAGCTTCCGATCTAATTACTGTGCGTCAAAAATCTTTCAGAAATGCTTTGAGCCAAAATTTGGATGTGCCAGAATGAAATGCCATACAATTGTTACAAGTGTATTTGCACTATTTGCCTTATCAGAACTGGATAAACATTGAAGAATGCTCATTGTGTAGCAATATTAAATGATGCAAACAACCATGGGAGCACTGAAATCTTCCCTGTACTGATTTACTTCTTTCAGCCCAATGAAGGTGTTCAAGTAAAACTCATTGGCTTTCAGTCTCAGCCTGGAGAAACCTTGGATATTGTGGTGAACTATTTAACATATTATCGAAGAACATGATCTTGGCAAGAAATAAGTTACTTTCTGCGGTGATAATACAAACTGTAATTCTGGTGGAGCTCAAAGAAAAGGAGCTAATAAAATTTTCAGGAAACTTAAAACTGTTCTTACTTAGACAAAGAACTGATTGGTATTGGTTCTTGTGCCTACATTTTACATAATACTGTGCAGACTGCATGCAACTGTTTGCCAATTGATGTGGAAACAGTTGTTGTTAATATATATTCATATTTCTACTTGTATACAGTTAGAGTAGAAGACTTGAAGGACTTCTGCGATTTTGTACCAATGAACACAAATATTTAACCTATGGTACCATATGAACAATTTAAATATACAAACACACACTCAAACCATCCTCTAGGTAACGTGACACAGTTCAACCGGGCAATCCCCAGCTGACACAAAGATGGTTGTGGCTAGCAAGAGATACTGGAAGAGTTGGCTCGCGTAAGGGTGGTTCAGGGGGGTCAGATGCTTTTAAGTGAGGATGCATACGGTAGATACGCATACTATAAATATGCGTACTTTGCGACCCAACTATAATTCGACCTAGAACATAGCCAGTTTCTGGAGCTTTCCAGATACTGTACCGGGATGCCAGATAAACCGTCCCTTATCTGTAGTAACAGGTAGCCAGAACCATTCCAAATATTCATCCAAGTATATATAGGTGTACAATTAAATATGTGTGTGTGTGTTTGCAGGGAGTATTGACTGCACTCTACACCATGAGTTGTGCTCCAAATTCAACATTCATCAGTACCCTACCACAATACTGTACAACCAGAGTGTTCCACATGAGTACATGGGCTACCATACCGCTGCTCAGATCGTGGAGTTTGTCGAAGATACTCTCAACCCTGCTGGTAAGTTCTCATCTATCTATTTGTTTAAATTTTTTTTATGACTTGTATTTCCAGTTATTTGATGATGAACTTTGATCTTGTACTATTTTGGTTCTCAGAGTATCACTTTAGGTACATTATGCTGTAATTTATTTTGAACAACTGTGAAAAGTGTAACTTATTGTGAATGGTTCTGTTTCTCTGTATGTATGAATGTTTATAAATAATTGTGTTTATTTCTATGTATCATTGTGTACTGTTAGAATGTGTCACAACCTCGGGGACAAATTTTCATAAGCCGGGGACAAGTTAACACTAAATTTTGAAAATAGTTGCAGCATTAAATTATCAGAGCGAGAGGAACTTGGGTCTAGGTTTATTAGAGAAGAGGATCAGTATCGTTATTGTAGATACCTGGAACACGGTCTTATTTAGCCCAGTTTCTTGTCATGTTAGAACAAGTTTCTCTAGAGGAAGATTTATGAGTACAGGTACTGTACTAACTGTAGAAGTCATTTGCATGACCAGGTTTCATTATCCTCAAAGCCAGAGTTGTAAAAAGTACTGGACTTTGTTACTTAAGTAAAAGTATTGTTACACTGGCAAAATGTTACTCAAGTAGAAGTAAAATAGTTATCATTCTTAAAGTACTCTAGTACTGAAGGTAAAAAGAACAAACAAAATTATTGTCTCAAATATTAAAATATATCCGCAGTAAATTATAAAAAAATAGTTAACTAAAGATAAAAATAAAAGACACAGAGCATGACGTGTGTTTATTTGCAAATCTTTCTATTAACCCCCTCAGCCTTGCACGACGCCATTATGGCGTTGAACATAAAAGGCGAAGAAACTTACGCTCAACCTCGTGATGCCAATGTGGCGTCCAATGGGTTATATTTTCAATTAACTCAAACTATTCAGTGAAACCGACTGAACTTTGGACGCCATTTGACAGACGTCATTTTCTTTGTGTGGACGATATCACCTTCCCCAAGACGGTCTTGGTCATCGTGTGCATGGCAATGCAGCATGAAGCAAGTGCCACTCTGGCCATTAGAGCGAAAGGAGGGTGTGCCGTTTGGCCCTTTAATTATTCCACGAGTTTTTGTGTTTTTATTTTTCCTTATACCACAGTATTTTACATGCTTTGGTCTTTGTTTTGGTATATAGTACACATCAGTGAACACAATATTACAAGGAAAATGCAAATGGAAATCAAGATGATGCTAAACATTTTCCTACTTTTCAACTTTTACTCGAAAAAAAGTGGCTTAAATTTCAAGATTTTTCCATTTTTTTATTGTTTCATAAAAAAGTTTCGACAATTTTAAGCTAGAATAAACCCATTACATTTAATAAAATAATTCCATGGCAGTGAAATGAGTCCTAAAAAAATATTTTTTTCAACGATTTTTCGGCAAAAACCTCCTAGGCCGAGTGTAAGTTTTCATGTATGTATGTATGTGTCTCAGGCTCCAAGGCTGAGAGGGTTAAGATAATCAATAATCGATTCTCAAAATTATGGTTGTACAATCAAGATCTTTTAGGCCTAAATATAAGGCCAGCACGACCTATTAAAAGAGAATACGTTCAACAGCTGCTCTCCCTACAATCCATCGCAGGGATAGTGAACGGGCTGAAAATATATCCATCCAACACCATGATTACTTACTTCCTTACCCACACAACTATCGTCGACTTGGTCCGGAGACATAATGCTATCTCTGCTTGCATTGGGTTAGGATACAGACCTAAATGGCAACTACAGTATCTGAGGCAGGGGATGACCTGCACTTTTCTTCCTGTAAACTCTGTAACTGTCCCAGCGCTAACACCTTCAACACTACTGTATTGCCTTGACTGTCCCAATGTCAGGGACCTCCTACCACTATCAGCCTCCACCTACTTATTCATAATAATTTAGATTTAATTCTTGTACACTACCTGCACTTTGGTGGGTGCTAACTCCCATTGTCTTTAAATCATATCAATATTGTCTCCATATATCACAAGTCTTTGAGTGTTTTGCCAGATACGAGTACCAATGTATTTGTGTCTTGTGACAAGGCTTGTTGCCCCCTGGAGTGTAATACGTCAATTAATTAATAAATAATATGCCCAACATGAATAAACATACACTCACAAGCAGCGGATGCAGGTAGTGGGGTGTTAAGCTTCAGAGATAAGTCACATACTGTCGGGAGAGACCTCAGTAGCTCCATTCCATCCCCTGGGCATGCCAAGTAGCTATCAAGCTCCTTCAATTGAGGAGTGTGTGGATGATTGTTGCCTCCATAGTGACCGAGTCTGACTAAAAAGACTCGCTGTGAATTGTCCCTTTAATTGGGGTGTGGCTGTGGTGATGTCACTTTTCGATTCTGATTGAGGAGTGGCTGAATTTCTCTCACACCACGTAACATCTGGCTTGGGGGGGGGGCACTGGTACTTAGTTATTTAAGCAGAATTTTAAATATACTCAGTTTCACACTTATGTATAGTTACAGGCTTTATATCCAAGATGGGATTATGTAAAGCAATTTAAAATCACAAACTAGGGTAGGCTAGGTGAGGTGGGTGGTCAAGGGCTAATGGTCACAGGACGCAAGAAGATCAAAGTGAAAGTCCTCTGTTGCAGCCACTGCCACCTGACCCAACCTGACTTCACCTTACCTCACAAGACCTCTAGGTGTATATGCGACTGCGTGGTGCGTCTCCCCACACCCACACTGTACCCTTCATGGCTCCACTCATACCATACCCTCCACCCACACAACTATTTTACTATGGTTAATAATTAATCAATTAATTAAAAATTATATTACTAGTTTGCCACAGACATTAAAATTGTTTGTTTGTTTGGGGAATGTAATGAGTAATTATTTTTGTTTGTTCATTTATATTGGAGTAAAATTAATAAAAACCATACTTTATTCAAAGTAAAAGTACTAAAATATTTAAGCACTTTTTAAAAAGTAGATACCCAAATATGTTACTGGAGTACAGAACTCGAGTACATTTATTTCATTACTTTATAACTCTGCTCAAAACATTGCCTCTTCTCTGTGTGAAAGTTGTTGCCGAGGCTGATTTACTAGGAATCGAACATTTCATTTTAATTCTGAGTATTTACCCCCCCCCCTAAAAACACTAAACTGAAGCAGTTAACTATTGATTAACTCTATATTCCCTCGATAACATATACTCTGTAGCTTAAGAACCCAGACTGCTACACTCAAAGTTTCTTGATTTTTTCTGAGTGCTTTTGAGTCATGTGGTGATTTCTATGCTTGTATTGACAAGTTGTAACTGGATAAAGATCTACATACAAAGAGATATCTTGCAGAACATATCTAAGTTAGCCAAGTTTGTAAAATGTATTTTCAGAATACTACTGTATTATGTAATCAATTAATCCTGTTCAATTTGACTAAACAATTAATAAATCATCTCCACAACAACAAGACCTCTCTAATTCCTCTCACAGACTTGTTTAGCAGTGCTGTACACCATGATTAGAACCACTAGACTACCACAAATTTAAAGTTCATTAATTTTATTCTTTGAATCCACTGCAGTGCATATGAATCGGGTCTCAAACTTGGTGGTTTCGTCTACATCGATGATATGAATGATTTGGGAACATGGGGTCAAGCTGTATACAGGAATGAGGATTCTACTGGTGGATGATACTGGGTTGTGTGAAGACCATCTGTTTTACTGTAGTAGTGCAGTATGAAGGAATGAATGACAGCATGTTAGAGGAAGCCTGTAGTGAGAGAGAGCTTGCAAGAGTGAGTGAACTCCTGTGGATTGATTGTTTATTTGTTTTACAGTTGTGGTACTTGATGAGGCAAAGTTTGAGAAGCTAATAAGCAACAAGGTAAAAGGTGAAGTGTGGGTGGTGGATTACTTTGCCACCTGGTGTGGTCACTGCCGGGAGATGGCTCCAGAGTACAGGAAGTTTGCACGTATGATGGAACATTTACCCAACGTCCATGTAGCATCTATTGACTGTGCAGAATTTGGTCACATCTGTAAGAATCAAGGGATTTCAAGCTACCCAAGTATCATGTTGTATCCTGCATCAAGCTTTGGAAATCAGAAGATCTTGTAAGTAAATTCTACATCAGTTGTGTGCACTGTTCTGGACCCACTTGTGTGTTTAGTGTGTTAGTGAATGTATTTATGTGGTCCTAAAAATGTAGTAAAACTAAATAAAAAATCAAATTATTGTTTCCATTAAAATGAAAGTATTTTTTAAAGAGAATAATACATTGATTACTGTAAACATTATTATTATAAAGCAAATTGATTAAAAGATCATATAAATATATTTATTAGCCAATATAATCTCTGTGAAGGACCCAGGTATAAATAAAATTTGAATATTATAAAGTTGCTTGGGGGTTAGGTATACAGTACAGTATATGCACAGTGAAACAGTAAAGATTAAAAATACCAGTAAAACACAAGGAAGCCCTAGTGTGCTGTGTTTATCATAAAAACTATGTATCCATTTACCTAACACACTTTCTACATTACTTCTTTACACACTCATTGCCATCCTGCCCTCTGCTGTGAATAATTTACAGAAATTATCTATTGTATATGTATCAAAAGTTACGTAAAATATCTGTTTGCAGGAAATTTAACGGATGGTCACGGGATGCAGAAGCCTTCCGCCAGTGGATGTACTCCAACCTTCCCAGTAGAGTGACAGAGTTAGACGAACAAATCTATGAAAGAGTTCTTCGCAGCAAGCAACCTTGGCTCATTGATTTTTATGCTCCATGGTGTGGACACTGTCAAGTGTTTGCCCCTGACTTTGAGGATATTGCTCAGGTAAGTTTAATGTTTGTGTGTGTTGACTGCATCACACATGCAGGGTGGTCAGTGTTCTCTGTATCTGTGTTTCTCTCTCTCTCTTTAACCCTTTGAGCACTGCCTATGATTTCAGAGTATTTACGAAGTTAGATTTTCTCCCCAAAATGAAAGTGCTAATTTCATCCTTTTTTTTTTATTTCCTAAATGCTTGTGATGATCAAGTTTTTATATATGCCATTGAAATTGCCTGAAAATCATAAATAAGCTTTTAAAAAAATATATGTTTAACTAAAAACCTTGTTAAAAAGAAATGGTCAAAACGATATGAAAACCATGCCAAATTAAAAGATATTTTATATAACTGTAATACAGAATTACAGTTGCTTATAAATGAAATATACTCGATACATTATGCAGTAATTATATACAGTACAGGCAGTCCCCGAATTACAAAAGTCCAACTTACGAACATCGCCAATTCGAATGAGATTAAACTTTAAATTACAGTATTTTATGTAACATTATTATTTTCCTTCATTTGCTGTACTGTATTTTGTCATTCTATTTCATCATTTGTCTTAAATTAAGTGACTTTAGATGTATATAAGGACTTAGGATACGATATAGTGGGATTTTAAACATTGTTCTGGAAGTATGGAATGAACATAGCATCTGTTTTGACTGAAGTACATTTTCGACTTAAGAATGTCCCCAGGAACGAAACTCGTTCGTAACCTGGGGACTGCCTGTATAAAAAAGCTTGAAAAATAACAGACACATCTGCTATGTATAATGGATGAATTATTAACACTATACCAAGTAAATCACACTACTCCGTATTTTGCGCTGGGAGTAGTAGGGAGAGGGCTAAGGGGTTGTGACTATAGTGATGGTCTTATATTTCCATTAAAAATACAAAACTAATACAGTGGTTCCTCGGTTAATGACCGGTTCGATTAACGAAATTTCGGTTCACGAATTACCTCCCATAAGGATCTTCAATTCGGTTAACGAACAAAACTTTGATTAACGAAATCCTTACTAAAAACACGTTTTGTTGTGAGCACCAGCTGATCAGCTGATGGGTAAGTCTGCCAATTCAGTAATCTGTTCTATGCTTACATTCGTTTCCAGTGGAGTAAATATCAAGAAAGTTGTGCATTCTAATATTTTTGCATTTTTTATATTACAATTATTATTTATTTTAAAATTTAGTTAACATAATGATAATATATGCAGTACAGGGAACTAGTTTTTTGTGCACCCATCAGTCGCTTGACTCCGCCACCAGGCGTCAGCTTGGCTTTGTTAACAGTGGATTGAACATCAATTTTGTTGGTGCCTTGAATATTTTTGCATTTTCACATTAAAATTATTGGTCATTTTGAAATTTAATTAACATATTGATAATTTATAGTGCAGTGCAGTGTTGATTTAAATAAAATAATCTTGAATTACACCTAGTGAACTTAAAATTTTACTGCATCAAGCATGGGTCCCCTGAAAGGTGATTTCTCCTCCATCCCCACTTCCTTCTCTTCTCCCTTCTCCTCCACCCCCACTTCTAATTCCCATCATCATCATCATCAACCAGGAACCTTCTACATACACACCTCAAAGTAAGTGTACTTTACTGCATTTTTTTTTTTACTTTGTATGTACTTTTTGGTGAGTTGGAACCAATTACCCAATATCCCATTGAAATAATGGATTCGGTTAACGAAATTTTCGGTTAACGAACGACCCTCTGGAACGAATTGTGTTCGTTTACCGAGGGACCACTGTACTGAACAGTATAAAATGCTGAAAAACATACAAAAATATATAAAGAAAACGTAAAAAATATTATCACAGGTGTAAAGTAACAGAACAGCTTTGGCAAACTCTCAACTCCCTACATGAACCTCCTTTCCCAGCATCATAAACCTTATCACCTACCTTTCTTATGTTATGTAACAAATGTGCTACTTCAAACAACATTTGTGTACAATCTAGATGAAAAAAATACAGCTAAAACCATTAAGGAAAAGCCAAATAAAAGTTTAACACAACCACCATTTGCTTCGTCACTGGCTGCCAACTCCCTAGCAACGGGGCTCCCCCACACCCTGCTTACTGCTCAGAGTGCTTAATTCTAGTGCACAAAGAAATGTTTATTCCTTTCATCTGTATGACCATATATTAATTATTTCTTTTACCTTTTTTATGCATAATATGCATGTAGGATTGTGTGTACATATAACCGAGTAAAAAAAATGGAGAAAGTTATGTCTATCTACCTGAAATTACGAGTTGAAAAATAACCATAACACCTCACAGCTTGGCCTGGTAGCAGGATTGATTGATTGATTTGTGGAATTTAGGCTCAAACCTGATTTGTGGAAATAAGGCTCAAGCCAAACACTGAAGCCAGTAGACCAATCAGCACTGTATGACAATTATGGGAAATAAAAAAACAACCACATCCACACATCCAATCAAAACAAATTAAAAACAGCCGATGCTTCACAACCCTCTGACAAACGTAGAGGATGACGTATTAAAGAAAACTTGGCTCATTTTCCACCAAGGGATCACTGGACACAGAGAAGCATGCAAGGGTACACAGCACTTGCCTTAGATTAAAACAAATTTTCCATATTATAACTTGTAATATAACTGAAATTGTTTTAAAAACCTGGTATCAAGAGGGTTAGAATGATGTGGCTAGTGAGGAGTCTAACTTGGCAACAATGCTGCCAGCAATGTAACAGATGCAAATGAAAAGAAAATTATAAATAAATATTCATTTCTAGCAGGTATTTGTAGATATAAACCAACACATATAGTGAATAATGTTCTGCTCTTCATGCAGAAACAAAAAGAAAGAAATAGCCAGAGGTATGGTAGGCACGCCCAGGATAAAAGAGCTTACTGGTACTTATCGTTCACTGTAAATGACCCACAGAAATGCATGAATTTTAACCCCTTAAAATATATTGCATACTGTACAGTAGATAGTTCGACCCCTGACATTTTGCATAAAAATTTAATCATAAAAACTAAGCCTTACACGAGTATATGCAGTATTTTCTTATTAATACGGCACTCACGTGTTACATATAATCTGATGACCTATATCATATTCAGCATCTTTGTATTATGCATGTGACATTTATTTATTTTTTTTTGTATTTACTACAATTTTATTTACAGGCTATGGAAGGTTCAGTGAATGCAGGAAAATTAAACTGTGAAAAACACCGTCGGGTGTGCCAGGGGGCGGGAGTACGAGCTTACCCTACAGTGCGTCTCTACAGAGGCTCACCCAATGGTGATCGTCAGAGTACAGATGGAATTAATTTCCGAAGTCTACTTAAAGAGGATATACTTAGTAACTTGCCACACTGGCTACCCAAAGATAAGATAGGACATGATGAGTTGTGATTGCGTGTTTGTTATATTAGATATATCATCATCAGCCTGTACCACTCCTCTGCTGGGTGAAGGCCTTCCCAGATATAACACATTCTACTTTCTTGAACCTTCCCTGCCCACTGACTACTGCCTATAAATTTCCTGATAGGTAGATCAGTATCCCATATTACTATTACAAGTACTACAGTATTACTGTTTTCATTATTTTATTATTATTATTAATTCTATTTACAAGGTTTTGATGATATGATTACATTTGCAAAGTTTATGAAAATGATCCTTAAGTTCTTGTTATTAAAATAAATTGGTGTTTGATATTCTATATAATATTAGACATAGAAAAATTCAGTACACTCTTAAAGTCTTTCCATGATGGCAGTTGACTCATAAAATTGTTTTGTAATTTTTTTATAAAAATACCCTAGACCATAAATTTGTATAATTCTCTACCAATGAGAATTTTCCTGATAATCAATAGAGTAATTCAGAATATCCTACTTCTGATATCTTGCACAAGGGGGTGCATTAGTGAGTGGACTTGACAGTGATGAGTATCTTTCCCTGTGCTATTTATTGTTTTTGATAAGGAGACATGAAGTGACTAACTTGTTGTCTCACATAAATGGTGTCTAGTGGACCAGTTGCCCAGGTTGTACCACATCTGCACATATTTCAGAATCTCTTACATAAGTAAAATTTGAAGTCTGCATTTCAGATTTATTAACCTTATGCTATATTGTATTTTAATTTTCTTATATTGTTCTGGTTCTTGCAAAGAACAATGTTTAGAGAAGTAGGTTTTATAGAGGAAAAAAGTGACTGAAGAAAAAAGTGTTATTACAATAGACTTTACCTCAGAAGTCTTCAGTAACTTACTTGTAATAGTTGAAATTTTTTAGTGAATCATTAACATGTTCCTTTTAAGATCCAGACCAAAAATGCCAACCATATAAATGTCATCTAGTGGAGAGCAACCTATAATGATAAGTCTGTTTCCAAATATATGTACTGTGATATTTCTATACTTAAATGTTTTCTGGTCATATTTAGTAATGGTAACTAGTAGCCAGTGTGACCTCCACTACAAAGTCAAAAAGATGAAGAATTTCCTAAGATTTCATGTTTAATCTGAGTGACATGTGAAAATCTTACATCTCATTATATTCCTACTTGGTGGAGCATATAGAGGCGTGGTGCTTTCTCTCTGTTAATGTTTTGGTTTTTATATAATAACCACCAAATTTAAGTAGGAAATAGTGGTTAGGGATTAGCAGTCATATTATGAGCAGTCATATTATGTCCCACTTGTGGTACTCTTGTTATCTAGAGTTTCGTTTGTTCTTACCTAATCTTTTTTTACATGCTGTAATTTTTGTCTTGGGAGCATTGATTTTAGTAGAATAATTTGAATTAAGTTATGTTGGAAGTGAAAAATATACAGAAGAACAGTGTACATTGGAAGAGGCACAAATTCTTCTTACAGGTTGAAGCTCCCTTATCTGGCAACCATGGGACCAATTCCAAGCCAGATATAGGAAAATACAGGTTATTCAATAGTTTGTACAGTTATCCTTTGTTTAGCATTAATTCACTAACAAAAATTTGGTTTCGCAATATAACATTTTTAACACCCTTTCTTGTTTAACGTTGTCAAATTTGGTTTAGCTATGTTCGACTCGCTATGATGGAGGAAAACTGAGGATAAGGTGGCCTGTGAGATGGCATGATGCCTTTGGTACATGTATTGAAACTATTAAAGTTGTGGATAAATCATTACAATACACTAATGTGGCTTACAAATACAGAAAATATAATATAAACACATCCGGGCAGTCACCAAGCTGAATCGAGATATGTGTGTGACTGCTGCCTGTATGCCGAGACGTCACATAGGGGGAAGGGAGAGTGAAACTGGCCACAATTACAGCTCAGTGCCCTAATACACATGCTCACTTTCCACACATCCACACCCATGCTCTTTATTTTTCCGATTTTATAGTTTTCTAGTACAGTATACTGTACAGTAGTAGGTAGTAGGCAGCTCTCAAACAGGGAGGTACTACTGCCTGGGAGGATATTGGAAGCATAGTGTTTTGTCTAATGGTAGACCCTGCTGCCATATGGCATCACAAAAATTGTGACCAAGTCCCAGGTTACTGATCTGACTTTCTGCCTCATTTACACACAATTACAGGGTCTCAATTGTTTCTCTTTCTTTGACAACACAACATACATAATGTATATCGTTTCTCATTCTTGATTTATTTTTTCGTTTTTGTATTTATTTATGATTATTGTTTTTACTATTTTGTTATTAATTTTTGAATTATTATAATAATAATAATAATAATAATAATAATAATAATAATAATAATAGTTATTATTATATTTTCGCCCCCCAGGCCCTGATATGGGTGAGTGACCTGTGCCCGGGTGGGCTGAAACCCGTAAAAAAAATAATAAATACTTATACGGTACTATAAAACTATGAAATAATATACAGTAATTTTTCCTTTTTCTTTTTAACAGGGACTAGCCTATCCAGGCATACATAGGTCACCAACCCACATCGGGTCCTGGGGGAGGGGCAAAAAAATTTGAACTAAAAATAAATACATAATTTAAAAAAGATTAAACAAATTAAGATGATAAACGATATTCTGTATATGTTGTGTTGTCAGAGTAAGAGAAGCAATTGAGACCCTGCAATTGTGTGTAAATGAGGCAGAAAGTCAGATCAGCAACCTGGGACTTGGCCATAAGTTTTGTATACAATACAGCATTTTCTTTATTCTAAGCCACATTACAATATTGTAATGATGTGCACTTGGAGCACAGAATCCCCAGCTTTTCCAAGTTCCCTCATGATTTTTTCCCAGTGAGTTGAAGATCGCTAAACCAAAAATTGATGTTTAAATGAGAATGGGCGTTAAGAATTTTAAATTACTAAACTGAAAAATCACTAAGTTTCTAATTGTTAAACGAAGGATACCTGTACAATAGATATGGCTGGTATTGCACAAAAAGTAGTATCTATGTACTGTACTGTATATAGAACAGACAGGATTTAAAAATGTTATCAAGGTCCATTTTTATTTTCGTTTGAAGTTCCTGTTGTGAGCCCATGACTAATGTCATATACAGTGAGTTCTGCTATGACACGTGTTTTGACAACGCGAATTGGCTCTTAACGCAATTTATGAATAGAGGAACGATATTTCTATAACGCGAACGCTTGTTTGCTGTAATGCGATTTTTGTTTACTATTTTTCCAATTTTGTGGTATTAACTGTGAATATGGTAAAGAAGAATATCTCCAAGAAACGTTCTGGTGATCGCATTCCCAGTGATGATCGTAAAAGAAAGGCTATAACCCTTGAAGAGAAGCTCGATGTTATCAACCTCAAAATCACCTTCTCCCCCATCAAGTTATATTCATATTTTTTCAAGGTAAAGTGTTACATTTACTGTATGATTTCATTATTAGATATGAATGTAACATTTATTTAGACTGTGCTAACCTTTGTGTTAGGCTAACTACTAATTGTTATTTGATTTCGAGTAGTAATCTGCACCTAACCCTATTTTCTCCATAAGCCCTGTTATTTTTATTTCGCGAATTTCTATAACACGATGTTTTACAAGAACACAACTATCGCGTTATAGCAGAACTGACTGTACAGTATTGTTGCACAATTTACAGCAGTCAGTAACATTAATGTTTTCCTTTCACACACACACACACACACACACACACACACACACACACACACACACACACACACACACACACACACACACACACACACACACACACTGTCACTATGTTGAAATGAACTGTATTTTGAGCTGATCCCCATCTAAGTTACTATATGTCTTATTTGTGTCACTTATGTCACTTGTATATTATTTGTAATTCGTAACCCATTCCCCAAATATGTAACTGTATATTTTCAGCCTTCTGGCTGCCAAGCTCTTTCAATAAACCGTTAATTATTATTTTACACACACACACACACACACACACACACACACACACACACACACACACACACACACACACACACACACACACACACACACACACACACACACACACACACACACACACACACACACACACACACACACACACACACACACACACACACACACACACACACACACACACACACACACACACACACACACACACACACACACACACACACACACACACACACACACACACACACACACACACACACACACACACACACACACACACACACACACACACACACACACACACACACACACACACACACACACACACACACACACACACACACACACACACACACACACACACACACACACACACACACACACACACACACACACACACACACACACACACACACACACACACACACACACACACACACACACACACACACACACACACACACACACACACACACACACACACACACACACACACACACACACACACACACACACACACACACACACACACACACACACACACACACACACACACACACACACACACACACACACACACACACACACACACACACACACACACACACACACACACACACACACACACACACACACACACACACACACACACACACACACTATTTTAACAGTACAGGGGGGTCACGGGGTTATGAACGGACTCCGTTCCCGAGGACATTCATAAGTTGAATTTGTACTCAAGTCGGAACACATGTTATGTGCATACCGTACTTACAGAACAAGGTTTAAAATCCCACTATATCATAGCCTAAGTCCCGTTCGTATCAGCGTGTGTTCGTAAGTTGGACGTTCTTAAGTCGGGGATCTCCTGTACATACATACATACATACTGTGCAGTCACACATGTGCTCAGACATACAATGGTCTTAATCAGAATGTTAAAATTTACAATTCTGTAATTTCTAAAAGGTTTTTACTCTAAAAGTATGTACAAGAGTTATATCACTGATTCTGGTGAGGTGGAGGGACTGAAGTAGCCTTTATGTATGTTTTATCTTGTTATTCAGATGTGAGCATTGCTACTCTTGTAGTACTGTAAGATAAAGTACTTGGAACAGTTAATTTTATAAAAAATAAATAAAATTAAAGGTAATAATTACTTCATGAAATTTTGTCTTGTGAAAGTGGGTCCTGTAGGCATGACAGCCTAAACTTAAGTTAGGTACCCATTCACTGCTGGGTAGATTGGGGGTGCCCTGGATAAAAACCAACAGCCCTTAGGTCAGGAGGCAAGTGCTCTGTATCTACTTGACCATGCAACTTATCATGAATAAAATTGGCTTTGTCTCTCAAGAACATAATTTATTAAGGTTCCTCAATCTAAGCTCACCATGTGATTATTTTACTAAACAGAACTACACATGGAAATAAGATAGCTTTATTATTCCCCTGGGCAAAACCTTATAGAGGGATAGAGTTTTGGTGATGTACATTTTTCTGTTGACAAATGTTTTCAACAAAATCACAAAAGTTCCATTGGATGCATCACAACTAAGATTTATGCATTAGTTCTTTTTGCAGATGTTATTACATAGTTGAGGTTTGCTTTAGTTTAATAAGCATCACAACAAGCAGACTAATTTCAATAAGAAACATTCGTGACATTTGTGTTATTTAGGGAGGGAATATATAGTCTTAACTAGCCTGTAACTATGTTTTA